GAGGTGACGAGGGATGATTCTGGTCTTCTTGTTGTCACGGGCAGCGTTGCCGGCCAACTCGAGAACTTCGGCAGCGAGATACTCCATGACGGCGGCCAAGTAGACGGGAGCGCCGGCACCGACTCGCTCGGCGTAGTTGCCCTTGCGCAACAGACGGTGGATACGACCGACCGGGAACTGGAGTCCCGCTCTGGAAGACCTGGACTTTGCCTTCCCCTTCACTTTGCCTCCCTTACCGCGTCCGGACATGATGCTTTTTGATTAGAGTAGATTCTCTGGGCAGGAACCGTGATTCGGACCGTATTACGGGTTTCCAACGTCAAAGCACGTTTTCTCTAACATAGTCCAACCGAACAGGTTTTTAGCTACCCAGGCAGTTGTTTGGCTACGGATTTAGGCTCGTGTTTCAGTAGACTCCGCAGGAACTACCAGCGCTCCCGCTGCCCGAGAGCCAAGGCGGAGTTCCAACGCCAAGCCAGACTCTGTTCCCGACTCCTCGCAGAACATCGGACCACCTCGTGGGAAGACTTCATCGAGTCCTGCGCAGAGAAGCCGCACGGTGTCTGGCAGGTTGCCAGATCTCTCCGGGGTGATAAGAAGTCCATCCGTCCACTTCACGGCCAGAGAGGCATAGTCTACTCACCTGAAGACAAGGCGGAAGCCTTTGCCGACACCATGGAGGACCAATTCTCGCCCCATGCGGACGTCTACGATGACGACCACTGTGAGGTGGTGGAAGACTTCCTGGAGACATACGACCCAGACGATGAGGAGGAAGTGACACCGGTGACAGAGCAGGAGATCTCCGGGCTCATCAAGGCGCTACGTCCCCGCAAGGCCCCTGGACCGGACTCCCTGGGAACCCCGGCCATGAAGCACCTGCCAGCTTGGGTGATCACTTTCATCGCCGCGGTCATGAGTTCTTGCCTCCGACTCTCCTACTTCCCAACCACCTGGAAGATGGCTACGGTGATCCTGATCCCCAAGCCGGGGAAAGATCCACTCTTCCCGGAAAATCACCGCCCAATATCTCTACTCCCCGTTTTCTCCAAGATGCTCGAGAGGGTAATCCTGGCCAGATTCCCAGAAGAGTTCTTCTGCTCCATCAGGACGGAACAGTACGGCTTCCGGCAAGGACACTCGACGACCCTCCAACTCCGTCGAGTGATCAACACCATCGCCAGTGCCCTGCAGAATAAGCACCACGCCACTTCCGTCCTGATCGACGTCAGCAAGGCCTTCGATCGAGTCTGGCACGAGGGTCTCCTCTACAAACTCGCCTCCTCACCACTACCAGGCCACCTCTGGAAACTGCTAAGAAGCTACCTCCACCTCCGTAGCTTCCGTGTCCGAGTCGACCAGAAGTCCTCCACTTCCAGACCCATCTCGTCCGGTGTGCCACAGGGATCAGTTCTTGGACCGATCCTGTACCTGTGGTACACGAATGACATGCCACTAGCCCCCAGAGTCCAGCTGTCACTCTACGCGGATGATGCCCTGTTCACCGCCACGTCTGCCAACCTGCGGATGTCACGGATCTACATCCAGCGGCAGCTGGATCTCCTTCAACCCTGGCTCAACAAGTGGAGGATCAAAGTCAACGCGGACAAGTGCGAGGCGATCTCCTTCACCAAAACCAGACGGCAGGCAGACGGACACCAACTCACCATCGACCGCCGCCCAGTCCCTTGGAAGAAGGTGGTGAAGTACCTGGGGGTACTCCTTGACCAACGATTGACGATGACACCAAACGTCACCAGACTCCGGACACTCGCTGCTAGTGCCATCAGTAGCCTCGGCCCTCTGTTCAGGGCAAGACGCCTGCCGACCAAGATGAAGCTGCACCTCTACACTGCCCTACTACGTCCGGTGCTCACGTACGCAGCTCCGGCGTGGTATCATCTGGTCTGCAGGTCGTCTCGCAGACAACTCCTGGCATTGCAAGCCAGAGCCCTCCGAAGAGCCACCAACACACCTAGGTACGTCCGCAGCGAGATCGTCCGGAGATCTACCGGGACGCCCACCATCAGGGAGTTTGTAGATGTCCTGACTACGAAGATGGAGAGCATCGAAGACACCACCCCATGGCAGCACATCAGGGACATGCTGCAGCAGCCAGTCCCCAGACTCCGTCCCCAGATGGCTGACTGAGCCACCACCACAACCACCGATATTGACAGGTAGCTGAGCTACCAGGGCAGAAGGCCCTTATCCGTCCAGAAGCCATGACTTACAAGAAGTCGAAGCTCCTCTAGAAGTGGGAGATCAATCTCCCACAGTCACAACCTCGTCGTCGTTAATTTTTACCACCGAGCGGTTTCGAAAATGCCTCCCAAAGCTAGCGGTAAAGCTGTCAAGAAGGCCGGCAAGGCCCAGAAGAACATCACCAAGGGTGACAAGAAGAAGAAGCGCAGGAGGAAGGAGTCGTACGCAATCTACATCTACAAGGTGCTCAAGCAGGTCCACCCCGACACCGGTGTTTCCAGCAAGGCTATGTCGATCATGAACAGCTTCGTGAACGACATTTTCGAGCGCATCGCCGCCGAGGCCTCCCGTCTGGCTCACTACAACAAGCGTTCCACCATCACTTCTCGGGAGATCCAGACCGCCGTCCGTCTCCTTCTGCCCGGTGAGTTGGCCAAGCACGCTGTCAGCGAGGGTACCAAGGCTGTGACCAAGTACACAAGCTCCAAGTAAGCGTCCCCAACGCATCAGCGTCAACCGACTCCTCGTCGCCGAGCGCCACAAAACGGCCTTTATAAAGGCCACCAATAAACTCATTCGTTTTACACTTTAGCAGACCCTCACTTAATAGATACGTATAAGTTCGCACGTGTTTTCCTATCCTGTGCGCAGCCGTTAACTTACATCCAAACGCAATTCACCACTGGTTATTACAATGATTGGCATAGTTTTTAAGACTTTATCTTCGTAATTGTATAACAATGGTCAAGCAAGAGTGTTACATGTCACGAGTCGAGAGTATTCCTTTACTCGAGTCAACTCAACACTGTGAGATGTTAAAGTTTTAAGAATATTCTAAATCTGACGTGAGTGGGTTAATTATTATGGTAGATAATAATTCGATATCATAACCAATGTACCTAAAAATAATACACCAACAGTTAAATAAAACACGCTCAGAATGGATCTTGATCTGTTGCGGCGTGCACTCTGGACGTACCGTAACGGAGACGAGGGAAACAATACGCCAGCGCCAGCACTAACGAAAAGGCCAGCATTAGAACGAGCGTGCGGTTTTTATTAAATAACTCGTAAACCGTGCGTTTTAGAGAGACAACACAGGTTAGATGAAATCGAGTAAAATAAAATCCCAGTACGTTGACGCAATCGGATCTCGCGTATAAAAACGCGTTTTCCAGTAACGAGCGATTAAAGTTTTTCGACTAAAACTCTAATAAAACGGTCACGTGTCGTCGTAGGTGGTATTTGCGCGTGCGAGACGTTAGAGGAGGTAAAGACGAAGAGAACGACACCATCACGGTATGTCTGGCATCAAAGATAACCTCCCTAGTGGGGTTTGAAGTTGTGGCCATTTGGCGGCGTCGGCGAAATCCTTTGATCGAGATAGATATATATAGCTCTGGCGGAGAAATAAGGGAGTGATTTCAGTATATATGTGGGGGCGTGGCCAACTAGTGACATACTATTGGTCGATCAGAGTGACCAACAGTACGAGCGGAATCGTCTAGCGGACTCTGGCGTTTCAGTTTCGCCGTGGTTAAGTGAGATTTTGCCCGTACTGAAGTCGTAGGCATACCCCGTGTGGTAAGAGTCACACTCGGTTGGTAAACGATTTCATACCATATAACAATGTTTGACAAAATGTAAACAAAAGAATAATAACATGATATGTTTTAAACAATAATAAAAATCATCAGTTGGGCTAATGCGCTATCTGACTTTTGATACTCAAAATATTCGTTCCATTTATGTGAAAGAAATGTACCATTGACTTTGGATACTGCATGCCTTTGGGTACAGCTGTGATTTTTGTTTTGGTTTGTAGTAATTATTATTACAGTATTACTATTTTTATATATTTATTTATTTTAGTTTTACAATGCAATACATGGTGGTTCCTACTTTGACTCTTTTAAACTTTCTTCACCTTTTCATTTTAACCACGTCATTTTTGTTTTATAAATTTAAAATTTCATAGAAAAAAAAAATACCGCAACACTTCGTCCCGCTCGCTTTTACAGTTGGTTGTATAAGCTAATGCGACATTTTTGACATTTTAAAAAATACAACGGTTGTGGATTGTAGTTCAGGTAGTAAAAGGCCCATGACCTGTATACTTTGCAACCTACTAGCTAAACCTGACCTAACCTAACCTAACCTAACCTAACCTAACCTAACCTAACCTAACCTAACCCAACCAAACCCAACCTAACCCAACCCAACCCAACCTAACCTGACCTAACCTAACGCAATTTGTGGTGAGTCAATTTTGAATCTAATGCATTTTGTTCGTTTTAAATCAAACTATTATTAGACATAGATATGTAATCACTGAAGTTAAATTTCAACTATTTTCTTATGACATATTACAAAAAAAAAAAAAAAATCAGCATTCTGACACATAACCTTCTCCAACAAGCTCCAATAGTTAAAAATCACAAAAGTTGCAATTAGTTAAGAACATATTGATTTTGATAATAACCAGCTTTTCTCCAAAAATCCGATATTTCTGTAATTTTTTTTTTTTTTTTTGTGAAAATAACACAAGTTACAATAACTTTAAACCGTAATTTTTACGGAAATGGGTTTTGAAGCAATACTTTTTAAAGCATTTAAAGGACAATGACATAACTGAGTTTTTAAGAGAATCGTTCGAGTAACTTTCGAGAAAATCCGATTTTCCGTAATTTTATGGGGGTTTTATTTAAAAATCCACATTAAAAAATCAATATTGAAAAAAAAAAAAATTGAAAAACAAAACCTTAAAAATGTTAAGGGCCTTAACGTACTAATTTACAATAACTTTAGGACCGTAATTTTTACATAAATGGGAGTCGTACCATTTTGTGCATAACTTAAAGTAATAGTTTGGGCCATTTTGTTAGAAAATCATATTTTTCAGTTCTTAAATTTTTTACGAAAACAATACTTTATCCATATAGAACATACGTACAGTACAACGGTTTCGTATGGACAGGTTTTAAAAATCCAAAGATGTTATTATATGAAAAGAAAAAAAAGGGGAAAAAAAATGTTATTCTCGACTTTCTCATTTTATTTCGAACGAAAAAAGTGTTCAGTTTTGATTGCAAGTATTTGGTACTTGGTGTCTTAAATCTTCAACAAGAGTGTTAAGATGCGCTCCTTTGGTCGTATTTCTTAAGAATATTGTATTTTAACTGATATACCTGAATTCAATTAACTTGCAAATGACGAAGGTTAATCATGTCAACATCTGAACGATGGACGGCAAACCAACGGAGTAGGTAATAATGTGAACAGCAAATGAATTGGAGATGACACACGTGGACGGTATAGCTAGTGTAAAAACGACAGAATAAGTGGTGGCCTTTATAAAGGCCGTTTTTTGCGCTCGACGACGAGGTTCCAGCTTATGCTTTCTTCTCTGTCTTCTTGGGCAGCAGGACTGCCTGGATGTTAGGCAGTACTCCGCCCTGAGCGATGGTGACACCGCTGAGCAGCTTGTTGAGCTCTTCGTCGTTACGGATTGCCAGCTGGAGGTGACGAGGGATGATTCTGGTCTTCTTGTTGTCACGGGCAGCGTTGCCGGCCAACTCGAGAACTTCGGCAGCGAGATACTCCATGACGGCGGCCAAGTAGACGGGAGCGCCGGCACCGACTCGCTCGGCGTAGTTGCCCTTGCGCAACAGACGGTGGATACGACCGACCGGGAACTGGAGTCCCGCTCTGGAAGACCTGGACTTTGCCTTCCCCTTCACTTTGCCTCCCTTACCGCGTCCGGACATGATGCTTTTTGATTAGAGTAGATTCTCTGGGCAGGAACCGTGATTCGGACCGTATTACGGGTTTCCAACGTCAAAGCACGTTTTCTCTAACATAGTCCAACCGAACAGGTTTTTAGCTACCCAGGCAGTTGTTTGGCTACGGATTTAGGCTCGTGTTTCACAATTGTGGGAAATTTTCAAAAAATTTTTACCACCGAGCGGTTTCGAAAATGCCTCCCAAAGCTAGCGGTAAAGCTGTCAAGAAGGCCGGCAAGGCCCAGAAGAACATCACCAAGGGTGACAAGAAGAAGAAGCGCAGGAGGAAGGAGTCGTACGCAATCTACATCTACAAGGTGCTCAAGCAGGTCCACCCCGACACCGGTGTTTCCAGCAAGGCTATGTCGATCATGAACAGCTTCGTGAACGACATTTTCGAGCGCATCGCCGCCGAGGCCTCCCGTCTGGCTCACTACAACAAGCGTTCCACCATCACTTCTCGGGAGATCCAGACCGCCGTCCGTCTCCTTCTGCCCGGTGAGTTGGCCAAGCACGCTGTCAGCGAGGGTACCAAGGCTGTGACCAAGTACACAAGCTCCAAGTAAGCGTCCCCAACGCATCAGCGTCAACCGACTCCTCGTCGCCGAGCGCCACAAAACGGCCTTTATAAAGGCCACCAATAAACTCATTCGTTTTACACTTTAGCAGACCCTCACTTAATAGATACGTATAAGTTCGCACGTGTTTTCCTATCCTGTGCGCAGCCGTTAACTTACATCCAAACGCAATTCACCACTGGTTATTACAATGATTGGCATAGTTTTTAAGACTTTATCTTCGTAATTGTATAACAATGGTCAAGCAAGAGTGTTACATGTCACGAGTCGAGAGTATTCCTTTACTCGAGTCAACTCAACACTGTGAGATGTTAAAGTTTTAAGAATATTCTAAATCTGACGTGAGTGGGTTAATTATTATGGTAGATAATAATTCGATATCATAACCAATGTACCTAAAAATAATACACCAACAGTTAAATAAAACACGCTCAGAATGGATCTTGATCTGTTGCGGCGTGCACTCTGGACGTACCGTAACGGAGACGAGGGAAACAATACGCCAGCGCCAGCACTAACGAAAAGGCCAGCATTAGAACGAGCGTGCGGTTTTTATTAAATAACTCGTAAACCGTGCGTTTTAGAGAGACAACACAGGTTAGATGAAATCGAGTAAAATAAAATCCCAGTACGTTGACGCAATCGGATCTCGCGTATAAAAACGCGTTTTCCAGTAACGAGCGATTAAAGTTTTTCGACTAAAACTCTAATAAAACGGTCACGTGTCGTCGTAGGTGGTATTTGCGCGTGCGAGACGTTAGAGGAGGTAAAGACGAAGAGAACGACACCATCACGGTATGTCTGGCATCAAAGATAACCTCCCTAGTGGGGTTTGAAGTTGTGGCCATTTGGCGGCGTCGGCGAAATCCTTTGATCGAGATAGATATATATAGCTCTGGCGGAGAAATAAGGGAGTGATTTCAGTATATATGTGGGGGCGTGGCCAACTAGTGACATACTATTGGTCGATCAGAGTGACCAACAGTACGAGCGGAATCGTCTAGCGGACTCTGGCGTTTCAGTTTCGCCGTGGTTAAGTGAGATTTTGCCCGTACTGAAGTCGTAGGCATACCCCGTGTGGTAAGAGTCACACTCGGTTGGTAAACGATTTCATACCATATAACAATGTTTGACAAAATGTAAACAAAAGAATAATAACATGATATGTTTTAAACAATAATAAAAATCATCAGTTGGGCTAATGCGCTATCTGACTTTTGATACTCAAAATATTCGTTCCATTTATGTGAAAGAAATGTACCATTGACTTTGGATACTGCATGCCTTTGGGTACAGCTGTGATTTTTGTTTTGGTTTGTAGTAATTATTATTACAGTATTACTATTTTTATATATTTATTTATTTTAGTTTTACAATGCAATACATGGTGGTTCCTACTTTGACTCTTTTAAACTTTCTTCACCTTTTCATTTTAACCACGTCATTTTTGTTTTATAAATTTAAAATTTCATAGAAAAAAAAAATACCGCAACACTTCGTCCCGCTCGCTTTTACAGTTGGTTGTATAAGCTAATGCGACATTTTTGACATTTTAAAAAATACAACGGTTGTGGATTGTAGTTCAGGTAGTAAAAGGCCCATGACCTGTATACTTTGCAACCTACTAGCTAAACCTGACCTAACCTAACCTAACCTAACCTAACCTAACCTAACCTAACCTAACCTAACCCAACCAAACCCAACCTAACCCAACCCAACCCAACCTAACCTGACCTAACCTAACGCAATTTGTGGTGAGTCAATTTTGAATCTAATGCATTTTGTTCGTTTTAAATCAAACTATTATTAGACATAGATATGTAATCACTGAAGTTAAATTTCAACTATTTTCTTATGACATATTACAAAAAAAAAAAAAAAATCAGCATTCTGACACATAACCTTCTCCAACAAGCTCCAATAGTTAAAAATCACAAAAGTTGCAATTAGTTAAGAACATATTGATTTTGATAATAACCAGCTTTTCTCCAAAAATCCGATATTTCTGTAATTTTTTTTTTTTTTTTTGTGAAAATAACACAAGTTACAATAACTTTAAACCGTAATTTTTACGGAAATGGGTTTTGAAGCAATACTTTTTAAAGCATTTAAAGGACAATGACATAACTGAGTTTTTAAGAGAATCGTTCGAGTAACTTTCGAGAAAATCCGATTTTCCGTAATTTTATGGGGGTTTTATTTAAAAATCCACATTAAAAAATCAATATTGAAAAAAAAAAAAATTGAAAAACAAAACCTTAAAAATGTTAAGGGCCTTAACGTACTAATTTACAATAACTTTAGGACCGTAATTTTTACATAAATGGGAGTCGTACCATTTTGTGCATAACTTAAAGTAATAGTTTGGGCCATTTTGTTAGAAAATCATATTTTTCAGTTCTTAAATTTTTTACGAAAACAATACTTTATCCATATAGAACATACGTACAGTACAACGGTTTCGTATGGACAGGTTTTAAAAATCCAAAGATGTTATTATATGAAAAGAAAAAAAAGGGGAAAAAAAATGTTATTCTCGACTTTCTCATTTTATTTCGAACGAAAAAAGTGTTCAGTTTTGATTGCAAGTATTTGGTACTTGGTGTCTTAAATCTTCAACAAGAGTGTTAAGATGCGCTCCTTTGGTCGTATTTCTTAAGAATATTGTATTTTAACTGATATACCTGAATTCAATTAACTTGCAAATGACGAAGGTTAATCATGTCAACATCTGAACGATGGACGGCAAACCAACGGAGTAGGTAATAATGTGAACAGCAAATGAATTGGAGATGACACACGTGGACGGTATAGCTAGTGTAAAAACGACAGAATAAGTGGTGGCCTTTATAAAGGCCGTTTTTTGCGCTCGACGACGAGGTTCCAGCTTATGCTTTCTTCTCTGTCTTCTTGGGCAGCAGGACTGCCTGGATGTTAGGCAGTACTCCGCCCTGAGCGATGGTGACACCGCTGAGCAGCTTGTTGAGCTCTTCGTCGTTACGGATTGCCAGCTGGAGGTGACGAGGGATGATTCTGGTCTTCTTGTTGTCACGGGCAGCGTTGCCGGCCAACTCGAGAACTTCGGCAGCGAGATACTCCATGACGGCGGCCAAGTAGACGGGAGCGCCGGCACCGACTCGCTCGGCGTAGTTGCCCTTGCGCAACAGACGGTGGATACGACCGACCGGGAACTGGAGTCCCGCTCTGGAAGACCTGGACTTTGCCTTCCCCTTCACTTTGCCTCCCTTACCGCGTCCGGACATGATGCTTTTTGATTAGAGTAGATTCTCTGGGCAGGAACCGTGATTCGGACCGTATTACGGGTTTCCAACGTCAAAGCACGTTTTCTCTAACATAGTCCAACCGAACAGGTTTTTAGCTACCCAGGCAGTTGTTTGGCTACGGATTTAGGCTCGTGTTTCACAATTGTGGGAAATTTTCAAAAAATTTTTACCACCGAGCGGTTTCGAAAATGCCTCCCAAAGCTAGCGGTAAAGCTGTCAAGAAGGCCGGCAAGGCCCAGAAGAACATCACCAAGGGTGACAAGAAGAAGAAGCGCAGGAGGAAGGAGTCGTACGCAATCTACATCTACAAGGTGCTCAAGCAGGTCCACCCCGACACCGGTGTTTCCAGCAAGGCTATGTCGATCATGAACAGCTTCGTGAACGACATTTTCGAGCGCATCGCCGCCGAGGCCTCCCGTCTGGCTCACTACAACAAGCGTTCCACCATCACTTCTCGGGAGATCCAGACCGCCGTCCGTCTCCTTCTGCCCGGTGAGTTGGCCAAGCACGCTGTCAGCGAGGGTACCAAGGCTGTGACCAAGTACACAAGCTCCAAGTAAGCGTCCCCAACGCATCAGCGTCAACCGACTCCTCGTCGCCGAGCGCCACAAAACGGCCTTTATAAAGGCCACCAATAAACTCATTCGTTTTACACTTTAGCAGACCCTCACTTAATAGATACGTATAAGTTCGCACGTGTTTTCCTATCCTGTGCGCAGCCGTTAACTTACATCCAAACGCAATTCACCACTGGTTATTACAATGATTGGCATAGTTTTTAAGACTTTATCTTCGTAATTGTATAACAATGGTCAAGCAAGAGTGTTACATGTCACGAGTCGAGAGTATTCCTTTACTCGAGTCAACTCAACACTGTGAGATGTTAAAGTTTTAAGAATATTCTAAATCTGACGTGAGTGGGTTAATTATTATGGTAGATAATAATTCGATATCATAACCAATGTACCTAAAAATAATACACCAACAGTTAAATAAAACACGCTCAGAATGGATCTTGATCTGTTGCGGCGTGCACTCTGGACGTACCGTAACGGAGACGAGGGAAACAATACGCCAGCGCCAGCACTAACGAAAAGGCCAGCATTAGAACGAGCGTGCGGTTTTTATTAAATAACTCGTAAACCGTGCGTTTTAGAGAGACAACACAGGTTAGATGAAATCGAGTAAAATAAAATCCCAGTACGTTGACGCAATCGGATCTCGCGTATAAAAACGCGTTTTCCAGTAACGAGCGATTAAAGTTTTTCGACTAAAACTCTAATAAAACGGTCACGTGTCGTCGTAGGTGGTATTTGCGCGTGCGAGACGTTAGAGGAGGTAAAGACGAAGAGAACGACACCATCACGGTATGTCTGGCATCAAAGATAACCTCCCTAGTGGGGTTTGAAGTTGTGGCCATTTGGCGGCGTCGGCGAAATCCTTTGATCGAGATAGATATATATAGCTCTGGCGGAGAAATAAGGGAGTGATTTCAGTATATATGTGGGGGCGTGGCCAACTAGTGACATACTATTGGTCGATCAGAGTGACCAACAGTACGAGCGGAATCGTCTAGCGGACTCTGGCGTTTCAGTTTCGCCGTGGTTAAGTGAGATTTTGCCCGTACTGAAGTCGTAGGCATACCCCGTGTGGTAAGAGTCACACTCGGTTGGTAAACGATTTCATACCATATAACAATGTTTGACAAAATGTAAACAAAAGAATAATAACATGATATGTTTTAAACAATAATAAAAATCATCAGTTGGCTAATGCGCTATCTGACTTTTGATACTCAAAATATTCGTTCCATTTATGTGAAAGAAATGTACCATTGACTTTGGATACTGCATGCCTTTGGGTACAGCTGTGATTTTTGTTTTGGTTTGTAGTAATTATTATTACAGTATTACTATTTTTATATATTTATTTATTTTAGTTTTACAATGCAATACATGGTGGTTCCTACTTTGACTCTTTTAAACTTTCTTCACCTTTCATTTTAACCACGTCATTTTTGTTTTATAAATTTAAAATTTCATAGAAAAAAAAAATACCGCAACACTTCGTCCCGCTCGCTTTTACAGTTGGTTGTATAAGCTAATGCGACATTTTTGACATTTTAAAAAATACAACGGTTGTGGATTGTAGTTCAGGTAGTAAAAGGCCCATGACCTGTATACTTTGCAACCTACTAGCTAAACCTGACCTAACCTAACCTAACCTAACCTAACCTACCTAACCTAACCTAACCTAACCCAACCAAAACCAACCTAACCCAACCCAACCCAACCTAACCTGACCTAACCTAACGCAATTTGTGGTGAGTCAATTTTGAATCTAATGCATTTTGTTCGTTTTAAATCAAACTATTATTAGACATAGATATGTAATCACTGAAGTTAAATTTCAACTATTTTCTTATGACATATTACAAAAAAAAAAAAAAATCAGCATTCTGACACATAACCTTCTCCAACAAGCTCCAATAGTTAAAAATCACAAAAGTTGCAATTAGTTAAGAACATATTGATTTGATAATAACCAGCTTTTCTCCAAAAATCCGATATTTCTGTAATTTTTTTTTTTTTTTTGTGAAAATAACACAAGTTACAATAACTTTAAACCGTAATTTTTACGGAAATGGGTTTTGAAGCAATACTTTTTAAAGCATTTAAAGGACAATGACATAACTGAGTTTTTAAGAGAATCGTTCGAGTAACTTTCGAGAAAATCCGATTTCCGTAATTTTATGGGGGTTTTATTTAAAAATCCACATTAAAAAATCAATATTGAAAAAAAAAAAAATTGAAAAACAAAACCTTAAAAATGTTAAGGGCCTTAACGTACTAATTTACAATAACTTTAGGACCGTAATTTTTACATAAATGGAGTCGTACCATTTTGTGCATAACTTAAAGTAATAGTTTGGGCCATTTGTTAGAAAATCATATTTTTCAGTTCTTAATTTTTTACGAAAACAATACTTTATCCATATAGAACATACGTACAGTACAACGGTTTCGTATGGACAGGTTTTAAAAATCCAAAGATGTTATTATATGAAAAGAAAAAAAGAAAAAAAAGGGGAAAAAAAATGTTATTCTCGACTTTCTCATTTTATTTCGAACGAAAAAAGTGTTCAGTTTTGATTGCAAGTATTTGGTACTTGGTGTCTTAAATCTTCAACAAGAGTGTTAAGATGCGCTCCTTTGGTCGTATTTCTTAAGAATATTGTATTTTAACTGATATACCTGAATTCAATTAACTTGCAAATGACGAAGGTTAATCATGTCAACATCTGAACGATGGACGGCAAACCAACGGAGTAGGTAATAATGTGAACAGCAAATGAATTGGAGATGACACACGTGGACGGTATAGCTAGTGTAAAAACGACAGAATAAGTGGTGGCCTTTATAAAGGCCGTTTTTTGCGCTCGACGACGAGGTTCCAGCTTATGCTTTCTTCTCTGTCTTCTTGGGCAGCAGGACTGCCTGGATGTTAGGCAGTACTCCGCCCTGAGCGATGGTGACACCGCTGAGCAGCTTGTTGAGCTCTTCGTCGTTACGGATTGCCAGCTGGAGGTGACGAGGGATGATTCTGGTCTTCTTGTTGTCACGGGCAGCGTTGCCGGCCAACTCGAGAACTTCGGCAGCGAGATACTCCATGACGGCGGCCAAGTAGACGGGAGCGCCGGCACCGACTCGCTCGGCGTAGTTGCCCTTGCGCAACAGACGGTGGATACGACCGACCGGGAACTGGAGTCCCGCTCTGGAAGACCTGGACTTTGCCTTCCCCTTCACTTTGCCTCCCTTACCGCGTCCGGACATGATGCTTTTTGATTAGAGTAGATTCTCTGGGCAGGAACCGTGATTCGGACCGTATTACGGGTTTCCAACGTCAAAGCACGTTTTCTCTAACATAGTCCAACCGAACAGGTTTTTAGCTACCCAGGCAGTTGTTTGGCTACGGATTTAGGCTCGTGTTTCACAATTGTGGGAAATTTTCAAAAAATTTTTACCACCGAGCGGTTTCGAAAATGCCTCCCAAAGCTAGCGGTAAAGCTGTCAAGAAGGCCGGCAAGGCCCAGAAGAACATCACCAAGGGTGACAAGAAGAAGAAGCGCAGGAGGAAGGAGTCGTACGCAATCTACATCTACAAGGTGCTCAAGCAGGTCCACCCCGACACCGGTGTTTCCAGCAAGGCTATGTCGATCATGAACAGCTTCGTGAACGACATTTTCGAGCGCATCGCCGCCGAGGCCTCCCGTCTGGCTCACTACAACAAGCGTTCCACCATCACTTCTCGGGAGATCCAGACCGCCGTCCGTCTCCTTCTGCCCGGTGAGTTGGCCAAGCACGCTGTCAGCGAGGGTACCAAGGCTGTGACCAAGTACACAAGCTCCAAGTAAGCGTCCCCAACGCATCAGCGTCAACCGACTCCTCGTCGCCGAGCGCCACAAAACGGCCTTTATAAAGGCCACCAATAAACTCATTCGTTTTACACTTTAGCAGACCCTCACTTAATAGATACGTATAAGTTCGCACGTGTTTTCCTATCCTGTGCGCAGCCGTTAACTTACATCCAAACGCAATTCACCACTGGTTATTACAATGATTGGCATAGTTTTTAAGACTTTATCTTCGTAATTGTATAACAATGGTCAAGCAAGAGTGTTACATGTCACGAGTCGAGAGTATTCCTTTACTCGAGTCAACTCAACACTGTGAGATGTTAAAGTTTTAAGAATATTCTAAATCTGACGTGAGTGGGTTAATTATTATGGTAGATAATAATTCGATATCATAACCAATGTACCTAAAAATAATACACCAACAGTTAAATAAAACACGCTCAGAATGGATCTTGATCTGTTGCGGCGTGCACTCTGGACGTACCGTAACGGAGACGAGGGAAACAATACGCCAGCGCCAGCACTAACGAAAAGGCCAGCATTAGAACGAGCGTGCGTTTTTATTAAATAACTCGTAAACCGTGCGTTTTAGAGAGACAACACAGGTTAGATGAAATCGAGTAAAATAAAATCCCAGTACGTTGACGCAATCGGATCTCGCGTATAAAAACGCGTTTTCCAGTAACGAGCGATTAAAGTTTTTCGACTAAAACTCTAATAAAACGGTCACGTGTCGTCGTAGGTGGTATTTGCGCGTGCGAGACGTTAGAGGAGGTAAAGACGAAGAGAACGACACCATCACGGTATGTCTGGCATCAAAGATAACCTCCCTAGTGGGGTTTGAAGTTGTGGCCATTTGGCGGCGTCGGCGAAATCCTTTGATCGAGATAGATATATATAGCTCTGGCGGAGAAATAAGGGAGTGATTTCAGTATATATGTGGGGGCGTGGCCAACTAGTGACATACTATTGGTCGATCAGAGTGACCAACAGTACGAGCGGAATCGTCTAGCGGACTCTGGCGTTTCAGTTTCGCCGTGGTTAAGTGAGATTTTGCCCGTACTGAAGTCGTAGGCATACCCCGTGTGGTAAGAGTCACACTCGGTTGGTAAACGATTTCATACCATATAACAATGTTTGACAAAATGTAAACAAAAGAATAATAACATGATATGTTTTAAACAATAATAAAAATCATCAGTTGGGCTAATGCGCTATCTGACTTTTGATACTCAAAATATTCGTTCCATTTATGTGAAAGAAATGTACCATTGACTTTGGATACTGCATGCCTTTGGGTACAGCTGTGATTTTTGTTTTGGTTTGTAGTAATTATTATTACAGTATTACTATTTTTATATATTTATTTATTTTAGTTTTACAATGCAATACATGGTGGTTCCTACTTTGACTCTTTTAAACTTTCTTCACCTTTTCATTTTAACCACGTCATTTTTGTTTTATAAATTTAAAATTTCATAGAAAAAAAAAATACCGCAACACTTCGTCCCGCTCGCTTTTACAGTTGGTTGTATAAGCTAATGCGACATTTTTGACATTTTAAAAAATACAACGGTTGTGGATTGTAGTTCAGGTAGTAAAAGGCCCATGACCTGTATACTTTGCAACCTACTAGCTAAACCTGACCTAACCTAACCTAACCTAACCTAACCTAACCTAACCTAACCTAACCTAACCCAACCAAACCCAACCTAACCCAACCCAACCCAACCTAACCTGACCTAACCTAACGCAATTTGTGGTGAGTCAATTTTGAATCTAATGCATTTTGTTCGTTTTAAATCAAACTATTATTAGACATAGATATGTAATCACTGAAGTTAAATTT